AAGTAGAGAGAAAGATAGAGTGAAGGACAAAAAAAAATGTATTACGAGTGAAAAAAAAATAAAAAAAAAAAATTGATAAAGATATTTGGAGTAGGAATAAACCAGCGGATAGAGGACGAGATCTCCATGAAGCGATACTGAAAGGAAAACATGACAGCGGAATAGGTTGAGGTCCGACAGGCGGCCAGAGCGAGGTTGCCGCCTAGCGGTGAAGCGAAATTATTAGGTTCTTAATCTAACTCTAATACCATGTTATGAGAATAGTAGAGAGAGAGGAAAAATAATATGTATTGTATACCTATATCACGGTGAACATGGTTATATACCATGCAAACCACCTAACTCTGATACCATGTTAGAATAGTAAAGAGAGAGAGAGGAAATAATATTGTATTGAATGAATTGTGTTGAATGAATTTGTCCTATACAATAGAAGGTCTGTATATATAGACTGAGAAAAAGTATTCTGCTAGAAGTCTAACTATGAGAAAGAGTATCCTATAAGAGACCTAACTATGGCAATACTTAATATATCTAGGAAATCAATGCCTAATATATATAGGAATATATACCATATATACATTAACAAAAACAAAGGTGAGTTACCCAACGGGTGGGTTTGCCGGAAAATCCCTCCAACAGTCAAGTTAGCTCACAAGGAGAAGAGAGAATACAGAGAGCACCATAGAGAGAGAGTTGCACAAAATTACTTACCTCTAACGCCTGCATGCTCTTCCTTTTCAAGGCTGGCCATGCAGCCGCAGAGATTGTGGGAGCACTACTTCTGTTGTCCTTCTCTGGACAGGCGGCTGTGTTCCTCTCTACATTTCTTATACGTGTAGAGACCAAAAACCTCCAAACAATGTTTTTCACACCGCCAAATGGTATTGACGCATACCAGGAGTGAATTTCTCTCTTCTCTTTTATTGGCCTACGTGGGATGCTCGACCAGGCTGTTACTTGTGAACCACTAACACTACATTGGTTGCTTCGTGCCGTGCTGGATCATAATCAGCCTATCATAACCGACTAAAGGTGAGCACGTCGTTTGGCACCTCGGCTACTAACTGCGATCTCACGGACCGCCTGCCTCGGTGATGATAGCCCGAACAGTCTGCAGCTCGGTCATTGCATGACTCCGCTACTTCAAACCTCAATGCTGGGGCACCTTCGCCTGTTGGCTGGTATACCTCGGTCGAGTTTGGCCGACACAATATTCTACGTAGGTCTAGCTTGACACCCTGCACCACATTTTGTGCAGGTACAACATGGCCAAACGCATCTTGGATAACCTCAGTCCGGCCCAATGACGCGTCCCAGGCTCTTCTCAAATGGCCTAACACCGCGTTTCATGTTGGTGTAGCTCAGCCCACTGTTCGGCATAAATCTCTCTCTCAAGAGGGAAAATGTGCAAATAAATAAATAGGTGATATCAATGAAAACACCACAAAATTTCATAATCAAACAAACCCCCCCACATAGGTTTATAACTAAAATTAATTTGCAAGATAACAAAAATTACAACAAAAGTAACCAACCACCCCTCATAATCAATTTCACTATAAATTTGATTGCGCCAAGACTACCAATATTTATTAATAGAATATATGATATGTATCATAAAGTTTTTCTTAAGGTTAGTTTGATAAATATTTTTTGTAACTTTTTTAATTATAAAAAAAGTAAAATACTTTTAAATTATTCTAGATTAAAAAAATTGACATATATTTTTTTTAAAAAAGTCACTACAATATAAAAATATATTTTTTTAAACCATTAACAAAGGAAAATGATTCATCCACTTAATTTAACCCCCTAATTTCACCTACAATAAATTGGAATTAAGAGTGCTAAAGATGAGAGGGAGAGAAGAATATAAGAATACTGCACATGAGATATGTTGCATCCCCTAATTGAGTTCTCCAATTCCACTTCTAATGACGTGACTAAGATTGATTACCAATTAAGGGAATCTAATGGGATTGATTACCACATAAAGGAGTAATACTAGAAACTCACATTTAAGATTTCTAAATATACCCACAAGGGTAATGTTAGGGATACTAAATTTTCTACCAAACAAATGATCAAATGTCTCACATGGATGGATGTGGGGTTCGTAATTTTGTAGAGTTCACACCCATGTGAGACATTTAGTTATTTGTTTGATAGAAAATTTGACACCTATAGCATTTCCTACCTACAATGATGTAGTAAGAAAATAGATCCTATTGAGTATATAACAAATTACAAATTAACAATTATTATTACTAGGGATGGCAATTTGAACTCGGCACAACGGGGACCTGACCTCCGATCTCGATTTGAGCAGTTTTTTTTTACAAATATCCCCAACGAGACAGAGATGGCATTTAAAAATCAATCACCAATTAGTTTCAGGCCGGGGACGGGGATAAGTGTCCCAGCCTTGTACCCAGCTCGTCCATGTCCCCATTCCCGTTTGTCTCCGAAGTGAAATTACTATTTTACCCATATATATATATAAACCAATTACCAAACCCTCATCTCACTTCACTTCTCTCTCTCTCTCTCTCTCTCTCTTTCTCTCTCTCTCTCGCACCTCTCATCCTCCTTAGCGCCATCGTTGCCACTATCCACGACGCCGATCGTCTTCCTCCGTCGTTGCAGTCATAGCCTCCATCCATCGGCTCAGCGTTTTCGCCGTTGTCGTCACAGTTGTTCATTGTTTCCGTTGTCTATCGCCTCCGTCGTCCATCACCTTCATCCTCCTCAGATCTATTTGTGTATGTATGTATACATGCATATGTGTGTTCTGCCCATTCTTTTTTTGGTAGTAGACAAATCTGTTTGTGTATGTATGTATACATGTATGTATGTGTGTTTTGTTCTCTTTTTTTTTTTTTTTTTTAGTAGTGGATCTATTGATGATTTTGTTGATGTTAATGTTGAAAATGAAACAATTGAGAATTATGATGCTATTGTTGTTGTTGATGCTGTTGTTGAAACAGATTTGGGCAAGGAAATTTTCAGAGTTAGAGAAACCCGATCCCCGTTAGGGGTAGGGAGGGAGATGATGATAGGTCCCCTGTCGGGGATTGGGGCTAGGGACGGGGAGATTTTCACAATTGCGGATCGGAGACAGGAAGTGTGATCCACGGCCCCGGCCCGGCCCGGCCCAGCCCAGCCTGTTGCCATTCCTAATAATTATACATTATTATAAATGAAATTATGAAAGTTTATTAAGAATCTCGAACATTTTTCTCAAATAGAATTGTAATTTCTATGTTATAGGTTAGGTGTATATAAATCATGTTATTTAATATAATCTATACGGTATTATTACATACACCAATTAATATATTAACTAGTATATCAATACTAATTATGATATTATTATTGATTCCATTCATTATACAAATTATAAATATAATTTTTTTTTTAAATTATAACACATCATCAATTAATATATTAATTAATCCATATAATATTATTCTAATTATACTCATTGAGCAATTATTCGTTATCTTGGGACATTAACGTGACAGTGCTCTAAATGCATCCCAGTCATTCATTGGGTGGATCTCACGCAATGGGTGGCTGCATTCGGGAGAATGTCACATAAGAGATTGAAAAAAATTTCATATGGAAAATATTGTAGTTTTAAATTTTTTACTAAATATTTTATTAAGTATCTCATATAAATATGTTACGTAAGACCTACTCTATGGGCTCGTTTGAAAAAAAGAAGTTTCTATGGGCTCGTTTGAAAAAAAGAAGTTTGAGATTTTTTTTTGTTAAAATAGTCAAAAATAAAATAAAATAAATTAAAAAATTAATAAAATAAAATGTCTCATTTAAATTATAATTATTTTAGTTTTTAAAAATTCATCTCAAACGAAACTTTTTAGCCACAAGTTAAAATAATCAAAAAGTCAAAAAATTAAAAAATCAATCCACATCCCAAGCAAACTTCTATGAGACCTTTGATAAAAGAATTATATTAGGGATCCCAAATAAATTATCAAATGTTTTACCAAACTTTTTACATAGATATGGAACCTACACAAATCACATATATGTAAATCTCACATCCACATGAGAGATTTTATAAAATATTTAATAATTTATTTGAAATCTCCAAATATTTTTCTTAATAAAAATAATTTTTTTTTTTTAATCTCTGACTCATGCCTATCCTCTATCCACTAACCATTTCCTCCTCGCAAAAACCAGTTGTACTGCCCACTAATTTCTTCAAATACGATGCATCATGAAAAAGGTTTGAGGGTCAGGAATCAATGATTCGAATTCAGCTCGAAATTCAAAACGATGTCGTTTTGGGTTTTAATTTTTTTTTTCCTTTTCTTTCTTTTCTTTTTCTTCTTCGTTTTGAACACAGGAGAAGAGAAATAGAGGCGAGAGGCAAGAGAGAGTCGTCGCAGCTCGTCGCAACTCGTTGCTCGTCGCAACTCGTCGGCCGTCGCATCGCAACCTTGCCTCCGCCTCCGGCCCGATTTTGATGGTCCCTTCAATTCTGCTTTTCTTTCTTTTTCTTGTTTCTCCTTTTCTTCCTCTTCCTCTTCCTTTTCAAATCCGAGCCAAATTCAAACATGGACTTTCGGGCTCCGTAAGCTGAATGCATAATAGTATATAATTTCTATCTCTATATCTACCCCTGGTCAATATATTGGTTTTAGTCCCACCCAATTCCAACACTTTTCTCTCTCTCTCTCTCTATAACAAACAGGGGAAGCAGACAAAATTCCATTCTGTACACGTACGTATACAAACACCACCACCAACTGTCTCCATCGTTTTCTCTCTCTCTATATATTTACATGAAAATTGTTTGAGAGTCACAATATTTTTATTATAATGATTTATAATTATCAAAACGATATCGTTTTAGGTGTAAAATATATTAAAACAATGTCATTTTAATAATTTTAAGCCATTATAATCAAAAAAAATTACGGGACTCTAGCATTATTCTATTTATATATCTCTATATATATATATATCATCATCATCTTCCCATCTCACACCACTGAAAAAGCGCGATCAAACACTTCGCTTCTTCTGGGTTCTTCTTAGTTATCCTTTTCAATTCCCTCAATGGGTTCTGGGTTTTCATTTCTCATCTCACTCTACAATTTTCAGAAACCTCCCTTGCCGGAGCCGAGTCTTGGGGACTTGCCGGAGGGTTGCGTGGCTTCGATCCTTGTTTACTTGGATCCGCCGGAGATTTGTACACTTTCTCGTCTGAATCGAGCCTTTCGATTCGCTTCTTCGGCTGATTTTGTGTGGGAATCGAAATTGCCTCCGAATTACGACTTTCTTATTCGAAGAGTATTTGATGATTTTCCATCGAAATTGTGTATGAAAGATATGTACGCGAGGATGTGTCAGCAGAATTCCCTCGATGGAGGCACTAAGGTTTTATTTTCCTTCTTATACCGTCTGTTTGTTTCCCTAGAAAATAATTTTTGGTTCTGTTTTTTCTCATTTCTGCTTTCTGGGAATTGTTTATTTCGTTTTTTTATTGTGATTTTTTGGAAGGGAAAAAAAAAAAAAATTATTGATTGTGATTGTTGTGGAAATGGATTATGTGCAGAAAGTGTGGCTAGATAAGATTACAGGAAGAGTTTGTTTGTCAATTTCTTCGAAAGGGTTGGCGATTACCGGAATAGATGATCGAAGATATTGGAATCATATTCCTACTACAGAATCTAGGTAAGGGTTTAGAATCGTTGTTTTTGCCTTTGTTTTTGTTTTTTTTTGGGATTACCTTGAAAACAGAACATATATTGGATTTGGCTGATCAAATTCAATTTTTTGGAGCATTTTCTCATTGAGATCTCTCAAAAAAGTAGGTTATTTGCTTTCATTAGTCAGTTTTATCTGACTTGTGATTCTTCAATTGTGATTCCCTCATTAATCTTTTGTAATTTTGGGGTTGTTTGATGTTTCATTTCTCGTATGCATTTGAACAATTGGGATTAGCTTACTTTTCATCATCATGGATCAGAGGTGCCTATTTGCTCCTCAGACTAGCAATAGATATCGAAAATTATTCACAAATTACAAGTTGTGTTGTTGTTTTTGAAGTATTATTATCCTATTAAATTCTTTCGCTGAGCATACGTAAGTTGTTTATGAGCAAATGTCCCCGGTTTGGATCAATTTTATTGTGGAAATTGTTGGATTCCAGATCTTGACTCTTAGTTTTTGTATGAATATCTAAACAGCTTAAACATATGCATTGATGATGAGAATGGTTTTGGCACACAATTACAGATCATTCATTTGTTTTTGTTTGTTTCTAATAATGGATCTTGAGGACCTTCCAAAGTTAGCTATAATGCGATAGTTAAATTTTTCTGTATGTTTTGTGCGGTGCTAGTTATGTGGCCTTTATGGTAATTAAGCTCAATGCCTTCTAGTTGCTAAAAGGGGGACCTACATACATACAGGTGGGAGATGAGAAAAAAAATTACAAACACATGGGGGCTACAAATATGTCTGTGGTGGGGGGTGCAAATGAAAGGTTGTGAGAATCCAAGTATCACTTGCACTGCTTCATGTATTGGTAATTTTTTCTCTGAACTCCCACCTGCATGTAGTTTCCCTTGCTAAAATTTGAGCAAATATTTCATTTGTTCTTACTGACATTGTTAATTGTTACATCCACCCATGTGTTTATACCATAATTTTTAAATTTTTATTTTGGTTTTTGTTATATTGGATTGGATCCTTAACACTTTCTAGAACGGAAAAGGTAGCACAATAAGTTCTTTTATATGGAACCACAGTATTGGTTCAATGAAATATTTCCCTCAATTTGGTTTCGTTTTCAAAATCAATTTTTTGAATCTTTTTTTGAAAATAAACATTATCAAAAAAGATATTCTCACCCGGAAAAAAGTGAAAACCATATGCATATGATGATATCTTTTATTTTTTTCATTTTTATCTGTTTGAAAAAGGAATGCAGTAACTGAATTGATTTCAATTCCCTTCCCTGCAGATTCGACACAGTTGCTTATCTCCAGCAAATCTGGTGGTTTGAAGTCGATGGAGAGGTGGAGTTCCCATTTCCACCTGGGACCTATAGCCTATTCTTCAGGCTGCATTTGGGCCGGGCCTCAAAGAGGTTTGGTCGTCGGGTCTGCAACTCTGAGCACATCCACGGTTGGGATAAAAAGCCTGTGCGGTTCCAGCTTTCGACTTCAGATGGGCAGGAAGCCATATCTCAGTGCTTCTTGAACGAGCCCGGAAAATGGATGCACTGCCACGTTGGAGATTTTGTTGTTGGGAAGAATCCCAGTGTGCCAACAAAAGTCAAATTCTCGATGACACAGATTGATTGTACTCACACCAAAGGTGGTTTGTGTGTAGACTCTGTAGTAGTATACCCAAGTGAGTTTAGGGAAGGGTTAAAGCGTTTTTGAATTGCTTTCAAACCTTTTCTAGATAGAGTTATGTACTAGTAGTATCTCCAACGGTAATAGGCATTTTACCTATCTAAATATTACTATAAAGTATATATTTTATTTTGCCTATCAACTATTTCATGTTTCTACTCCAACCATGCTCTTTATTTTAGCTATTTATCTAAATACTATTAATTTTATAAAATGCCACATCAGCAACAAAGATTGAGGGAAATGATCCTAATGGTTAAATATATTTTGCCTAGTCTTGAAGGCTAGCTACATGTAGCTAGTGAATGTGAGTTGAGCTAAAATGCCTAATCATATGCCTAGTGCATTGGAGTTGAAAAAAATGAGTTATACTAGGCATTTTGACTAACAAGCATGATATGCCTAGTGGGTTGGAGATGCTCTTATGATCGATTTGGCTCAATATTCTAAATACTATTTATTTAAAAACTTTGATTTATTATCTTAATTCTAACTCACATTAAATAAAATTTGATGTTTAGTATTTTCTAATGTAATAAATTAAAAAAGTTAATAATAAAACATTTATCATGTTAAAATTCCGCACGATACTTTTAAATTGTCAAATTTGATACGATGATAACACATTTTTGAAGTATGTTTCTTGTGTCTAGGTCATCAAATTTTAGCAATAGCATGGCAAAGCACAATGGTGGAGTTGCTTGAAGAAATGGTCATTGTGTCATTATTATGATCTCTGTAATTTCAATTTGTTTAATTTTTATCATAAATTTGTTTTAATTTGGTATAATTGATTATAATTATTAGTATTTTATTTATGAAAAATATGCGCATGAACTACAGGTGTAATGTATTTATAAACAAAATTATAAACATATTCAACTTAGTAAATTAATAATTTCAACCAAGTCAGTGATGATTTTCCTTTAAAAATCCTGATCAACATTTCTATCAACATAATTTAATCTTTTTTTTATTAGTGAAAATTAGTTGTAAGTTTTTAATTATTAAATCAGTTTAGGGGTTGTTTGGAGTGTCATAAATAAGTGCACTTTTTGTCTTTTTTGATTAAAAAATTGAGAAAAAAATATAGATATTTTGATTAATTTTTTGACTTTTTATGGAAAAATATATATTAAAAAATTGTAAAAATTGATTTGTAAGAAAAAATTAAAATTAAGAGTTATACAGTCGTAATTGTTGACTTTTAATAAATAGTATTAATTTTTTAACTTTTTAAATAATTTTTTAACATTTTAGCTTTTTCTTATATTCTCACACTTGGCCTTAGTGTTGACCTCCAACCTACTCCTACAAGGGATAAAGAGAGACATGGAGATTACCTTTGCTTCCAACAAGGAATCACAAAATTCTTTTCCTTTGCTCTTTCATAGCTTTAAAGAATGTTCTTTCTCCTCTCCTCGCTCCCTACTTTTGTTTCCTCTCCCCATTTCCAATCCAACCAAAAAAACCTCTCTCAAAGCCAAACACGTCGCGTAACCCAAAAGCAAACCCAAATCCAGAAACTCAATATTTAATAATCCATGCATGAAAACCCAGCAACAAGACACGCCATTTGATCTATAAATACGTCCAAAACCCATCTCAATCTCAAACACACCAAACCAGTCTCATTTGTTATTGTTGATATATCTTTGTAACCGTAAAACTAGTTTTTGTTGTAAAGCTGAAATGGCTACTCCACCGGCATTGAAGCGGTCTGAATCGATGGCGGATAGCATGCCGGACGCCCTGAGAGAGAGCCGGTATCATATGAAGAAGTGCTTTGCTAAGTACATTGAGAAGGGGAAGAGGTTGATGAAGCTTCATCATTTGATGGATGAAATGGAGAAAGTGATTGATGATAAGATATATATATATATATATATTTTCTTTTCTTTTTCAAATTTCTACTAAAAATTTATAAATCAAACACAATATAAAAACAAACCAAACCTTATGAAGAGCAAAACTTCTATGGATGAGGTAGTATTTTATACAAGGCCAGGCTTCTCTCGAGTCAGATATTTGAATTGAGCATGCTATTGGACTTGTAGAGGTCATCACACCATGTTTTGAATTACGAGGTAGTATTTTATATAATGTCAGGCTTCTCTCGAGTCAGATATTTGAATTGAGCATGCTATTGGACTTGTTGAGCTCATCACAGACTTTGTTTCGATAATTTAAATAGTTCAATATGTAAAATTTATTAAATATTTTATTTTTACAAAAAATTACATTGATCAGATATTGATAACTACTTGATTAAATTAAATTTCTGTCAACAGTAAATATAATTTTCAAAATAAATTATTGACAAAAATTTGATTTGATTAAGTAATTATCGATATCCGATTAACATAACTTTTTGCGAGAATAAAATACTAGACAAACTCTACACATTGAACAGTTTGGATTATCAAAGTAGGACCTTTGGTGAATTCCACAAGCCTAACAACACCATCTAATCTACAAAGTAGGTGTTTGGAAAGTAGGTTTTTATGTAAATTTTTTTAGTTGTAAGATATTATTGAAGAAATTTTTTTTTGTATTTAGAAAGATAGTTGAGTTTTTTTGTGATTCGATATGATATCTGTGAGAGAGAAAATGAAATGATTATGGGATTGAATGTAATATTTTGTTTGGATTTATTTTTTTTGATTTTGTAAAAACTTTGTCTCCGTTTGGTAAGACTTTCTAACTATAATTTGAGAATATGAGTTGTATTTTGAGTTTGTGTGTTTTGAAATTATGATTTGAGTGTAAAAAATTTGTTTGGTTATAATTTTTGAATAGAGTGTTGAATTGAGTGTGAAATTGAGTTTTGAAAGTTTGATTTGAGAAAAATTGTTTGGTTATGAGTTTTGAAAAGAATTTTCAAAACTTAATTCAAATTGTTATAATTCATAACAAAACACACTACTTTCACACTATTGAAAATTATGATTAACACTCATAACCAATTAGACTAATTGATTTTGGAGTGAAAGGTATGAATTGGTGTTTTGTGTGAGTTTTAGAACAGAGGTTAGAGAGGTGTGGACTGGTTTTGTGGGTCGGGTGACAAGTGTTCCAAGAAGTTTGGCGGTGGCGCGAGAAGTGGGGAAGGTACATGGGGTGGCTACACGTGGGAGGCTGTTGTGTATCTATGGGTTTGGTTTTGTTTCGTTTTGGAAATTGATTATATTTTAATTTTTTAAAAAAAATATTGAAAAATATAAAAAATGATATGATAATTTTTTTAAAAAAATTGGTTGCGTTTAGTAGAATTTTGAAATTATAATTTGAGTGCGAAAAATTTGTTTCGTTATGAATTTTGAAAAGAGTTTTGCATAATTGATGTGACGTATGATATTTAATTTAAAAACTTATAAATCATAACTAAACGCACAATAAAATTCAAAAAATTAAAATCAAAATATTTAAAAATATTCAAAAAATTCAAAAAATCGTAACATATTTAAATATTAAAATATTTAAAATCTTAACAAAAATAAAATATTTTTAAAATATTTAAATATTTAAAATATTTAAAAAATTGATTTGAATTAAGTTTTGAATTATATGTTTGGTTATGAGTTTTGAAAAGTAATTATTATGTTTTGAATTGAGTTTTAAGAAATGAGTGTAGAATTATGATTTGAAAATTCAAAACAAACACTACACTCAAATCAATGGTGGAACAATAATTTGAGATGCTTACCAAACAAAGCCTAACATTTTACCAACTTTCCATAACACTACTCAATATTTGTTCATTTCACATGTAGATGGGATTGCAAAACAAAATAAATTATTCAAATTCAATCCGTGTTTGACTTATTAAAAATTTATTCAAAATCAAATTTTTATATGAATGAGTCAAACTTAAACACTTTTTAAAATATGTTTAATTTTTAAAACCAAGCTTAAATAAATTAATATTTAACTCAATAAACATATATGCATTATAAAAATCAAATTATTCAAGTTTGACTCATTAAAAAACTTATTCGAGATTTACTCATCATATAAATAAGTTAAATTTAAATATATTTTAAAATTCATTAATTTTCAAACAAAACTTAACCAACTTACTATTGGATTCGTTTGTAACATTGATGAATAAGTTTATAAATAAATGAAGAATCTGAACTACTAATTCACAAGAAAAAGTGCCAACGTGGCAAACGTTGGCTATTCGGACTGAATGTCCAGGTCCGACCTGTCGAGGAGCTCAGCTATTAAAATAAATACAAAAGGATTGTTTGACAAAATATTTACTATACAAAGGCTTAAATAACAAAATTAACATGCACCATTCACACGTCTTGTTTCTTGCCAAATATAGCTTCTCTAGTCACAAGCTCAATCCCCCTTACCAGCCATTTCAATTCCACCATCACAAACAAAATGTACCTCCTTGTTCTTGGTAGTAACCACCCGAAACACTGTTGGAATAATCTCTTGTATAAATAAAATAATTAGAAATAAATTCAAACAAAATAAATAAATAACATACCGGATTTATTTTGTCGAATCAAATAAAAATTACAAGACCAAGTCGAGTGTGTAACACTCTGTCCTTAAGACATATTCGCCCCACTACGGTGCTTACGGTTGAATGGCGTCTATCTCCCAAGATACAATGATCTTCACAAATTTATAGAAGCACTTCAAATAAATTTGTTCGGCGAACCAAACCTGTGTTCTAACTCTCTGAATATTTATTCTTAAATCTAAAATGAAGAATAATGCACTAAAAGTAATTTGGACAGCCAAAAAAAAAACAAAAAATGATACTGTTTTTTTTTTTGGAAATTAATGTTAAACCCGAAAACGACATCAACTTCTCATTCACTCATAAATGGTTTTGACGAACCGTTTTCACTGTGTGACTTACCACGCGTCATGGAACACGTCATCTCTTCGGATCCGCCCCAAAAGACGTTTACTCAACTTTTGGCTTAAAGTTGGCCCAAAATAAGCCATATAAAACACTATTTTTCCAACAATCCCCCATATAAAT